CCACCACACAGCAAAACTCATTCAGACTTGTATTATTTGTGGAGATAAAACATCAATTTTGCAGAGCAAACTGTGTCGGTGGTAGACTGGTGTTGCTGTTAGCCATTCAGTGGAGAGATGTCCAAATAACAAGAAATAAAACTCCTAATACTGCCGTGTTCAGCTCTCTTCTGATGTAGCATTCTGCTAGTTTCTGAAACAGGCACATCTGGGGTTTTCTTCCCCAGAGTACGACTTGCAAGGTGATCTAGAGACCACTGCAAATGTATTGATTCAATGAGTATCCCACACCTTTAATACAATGCCTCCAAGAAACTTCAATCCAACTTTTGGTGGAGACACAAGACACTGGACCACGACATACTTGCACAGCTTTTAGATTTTGTTCACTTTTTTTAATTTTGGTCAAATTTTAGCTTCAGTTTTAGAAAATAATTGACCATTTTCAGATTTTAGAATAACTATGACATTTAATTTTTTACAGTGGATGACATAAAAATCCAACAGATGTAAAGTCCATTAAACTTGTTCTCCTACTCCTGCAACATTTTGACACTCTACACCAGGGGTGTCAAACTCAAATTCACACTGGGCCAAAATGAAAAACTGGGACGAAGACGCGGCCCAAACACAATATTTTTTTTAAAGTGACGGCAATCTGCACATTTTCCATTATCTACAGGTATGAACGGTTGAACCTTTTCATTTGGAAACAAACTTATTTTTGCAGTAACACTGAATGTGGAATGACCAAATTACATACGAGCAAGTCGATTTTAAAAAAAGCACACCTCAATGGTATTCATTACTTATGTCTCAATTTTTTAAAATAGTTTATTCCTTGAAATCTGCATATATTCAGTATTTCTTCTTATTTTTTGTCTTTTGAGTCTTTTAAGTGTTTCTAATTCATGTTTTCTTGTTTATTCTTTATTTTTTTACTCTCCTTTGTTGGTCTTGTAATGAATGTTGTTGCTGCTGTGACACCAAGCTTTCCCCACTGAGGGACAATAAAGGGATTTTCTATTCTATTTCTATTCTATTCTTCTATCTGTAATCTGTCCTGTTTTAAAGTAGGTGAAATCTTTTTTCACAGGCCAACAACATAAATAAAAATAGTAACTGAAAGTGCAATATCTCACCTATTAACTTTCATGCTTTGGAGCAGAAAAGGTGAATAAAACCAAAATAATTCAATCCCAGTTTTCTCCACTCTGATTTCCTGTGATGCTCACCTGTTCCAGCCAGACCTGCACCTGTGGGGTTGGGCTCTCAGCTGAGGAAGGAGTTCATCAGTGAGAAACCGTTGCTCACACAGGTTTGTGCTGCTGGACATGGAGAGCATCTGGACCACGCAGTTGTGTCCAGCCACAGAGTCATACTGACTTGAGCGTGTCGCTAAACTGGACTTAAATCATCTCAGTCTGGAAGTTGGTCGGTGTGCTATCTATGTCCGCAGCAAACATTACTGAGCTGTTAAAATCCATTTATGGGCTTCAAAGTCGGCTAATTGCTGACTAAACTCGGCGCTGAGTAAGAGGAGTGTTTTCATTTTGTCCGAGGCAGAGGAGGTAACGCTGCAGATGCTGATGCTAGCAGCATGGACACTAATGACCGTAAAGATGCCGTTTTTTTCTCCTTGAAGCATCAACATGTTCCATCTTTGCTGAAACACCTTCCTTCTGCATCAATCTTTCTCTTCCTGGACATGCTGGGATGATGTGTGGAGTTATTTTCACTTGTTGCATTAATTAACATGGAAGTGGACACTGCGACCTAGTGGCGAGTCACTTCACTGGGAACACGATCGCCATGCATTATGGGAAATGTAGTTTATAGCCAATGTGCACTTTGAAGCAGCATAGACTTATTTTAATACACTTGAATCTCTCGCGGGCCACGTTAAGTGTGGCGGGCCACATCTGGCCCTTGGGCCTTGTGTCTAACACATGTGCCTTAAACAAATAACCTTTTTGTGACTTTCTTGTGCACAGGGCATGTGGTTTGCCCTGGATGGCTGAACAACCCTCCCACTGGCTGCTGAATTACATCAAATCCATTTTTCTCTTTAAACCATTAAGTGAGAAGCCCTTTAAACATGTTGCATATCCCACATGAAACTCTGAAGAAACTTTAGAGCCACCAAACAAATCCTTTGAGACTATTTGCAATGCATTTCATAATTTTCACACAAGCAATTGCTTTTTTTTTATTTATTGTTTCTAATTTATCTGTCTTTACATGCACATCTATCTGCTGTCAGGTCCACTCTCAACTCCTTCTCCACTTGTATATTTATCCTCTTGTCTCCTTCGTCATCTGTTTTGTCATCAACACATGATTTTTTCTGTTATGATATCTGCTGATGCCTAAATCGGCCATGAATGTTAAACATTATGCACCAAGCAGCAGGCACTACCAGGGTCTTAGTATTTGTCATATTACTTTTGTGATTGTTGCGTTAAACACTAATAAAAATCAAGGTGAGTTCAGAATAGAAAACCCTCAAAGGCTGAGGATTTTTTAAATTCCCCCAGAATCAGAGAACCTTTTTCTTTTGTCTGAATTTGTCTTCTGTTGCTTCTGTTTTTGTCTGACAAGCATGTTTTTCATTTGACATTTTATGTCACATGGACTCTGTTCATGTGTGTTGTAAATATGTAGTCAATTTACAGGTGAGAGTCCCTCTTCACAGTCTAGAATGTCTCCTGGTTTATTAGACGAGACTGGCTCCTTCTGAGCCGGGAAGGTACTGCATAACACAGTCACCAAAAAGTCAGAGAAACAAGTTCAAACAAGGACAGGTGTGATTTATTTTCATGCTGCTGACTGAAAAACAAAGTACCTTAAAATGACTGTGAACATGACAAATAAAGTAATAAAAGTTCATATGCTCAAATCTTCAGTCATTAGTTTTACAAACCTTTATTGAACTGTACCAACGCACAAGTGATCACGAACATTGGTGAAGAGAAAAATTCTTCTTGGTAAAAAATCTTTCAGCTTTAAATGAGAGTAAAAATTACAGCAAAGCTTCAAACAGCACAAACGCTATAATAACTAACAGAAGTGACTAAAAGCACAGAGTATCCAAAAGGTGGATAAAAAGTGAAAAATGACAAAGAAATGTCTTCAAACACTTTAATAAACCACAGTTTCATTAAAGTCCATTCATTCAGTCAAAAACTTTTTCCAACTGATTCTGAAGTTGCATATTTTCTAATAATCACTCACGACGGCGACGGTGGCACAGGAGTTAAGTGCTCGCCTCGCAATCGGAAGGTCGCAGGTTCGAGTACCGCTCAGTCTGCCGCTGTCGTTGTGTCCTTGGGCAAGACACTTAACCCACGTTGCCTGCTGGTGGTGGTCGGAGGGACCGGTGGCGCCAGTGCTCGGCAGCCTCGCCTCTGTCAGTGCGCCCCAGGGCAGCTGTGGCTACATTGTAGCTCATCCCCACCAGTGTGTGAACGTGCGTGTGAATGGGTGAATGACTGCTGTGTTGTAAAGCGCCTTGGGGGGTTCCAGGACTCTAGAAGGCGTTATATCAAATACAGGCCATTTACTCTAATGATTAATAGTTACTGGTCATTGCTTACAAACATTTCCAGGTAATAGTTTCCTCTTTTGTGTTGGGATTACATTTGATCAGATGTTTGAGATTGTGTTTTAGGTCTTGTGTCCTTTATGTTATGCTGACCAATATTTCACCAACTGTGAGGCTAATAAAATATCATATTTTCTAAATTTGAGGTGTCATTGAAAATCATTAGTAAACAGGCATGGCCCTAACTTTTTACTTAAGCTTTTGTAAACAATCGGTTTCCTTGGTCATAATGAGATTCTGCTTTGTGAAATTACAGAAAGAATTTGTTGGTTTTTTTCTTCTGCTCACTCGCAGTGACACACTTGTGCCACTAGATGAAAGTGTTTCCAGGCTGAATCAGGAATCCATCCATCCATTTTCTGAACCCACTTTGTCCACGCAGGGTCGGGGGGGGGGGGGGGGGGGGGGGGGGGCTGGTGCCTATCTCCAGTAGTCACCGGGCAACCAGGCGGGGTACACCCTGGACAGAGAGCCAGTCCATCGCAGGGCAACACAGAGACATACAGGACAAACAATCATGCACACACACACCTAGGACAATCTAACAGTCATGTTTTTGGACTGTGGGAGAAAGCCGGAGTACCCGGAGAGAACCCACGCATGCACAGGGGGAACATGCAAACTCCCTGCAGATCCCAGGCCGGGAAGCGAACCCAGAACCTTCTTTCTGCAAGGCAACAGCTCTAACCACTGAATGTGAACTGAATCAGCAATGAAAACCCGATCACTTCACACTTTGGGGTAAACTGGAAAAAAATCGCTACTTTTTTTGTAACTAATGAAAAAAGACACGTTACAAGTATAACGTACCAAAAGTGAATATAATATAGGAATATTACCAATAATGAATCTGTCTAGGCTGTTTGACGTCATTTTTCTTTTATTCTACATGTACAGGCCTGTAGTTGTTTCTGACCAGCATTTGACAAAATCACTGATAAAGAAAGCATTAGTATTTTCTGAATGAGAGGGGGAATATATGGCATTCCAAATTTCAGGACTACTGGTAGGCTACTACATTTCCCATGTTGCATTGCTGCGCAGCCGCTTCTTGTCAGCGCTCTGCTGCCTGTGCGTGCCCGCGGTCCATCATCCTTGCAGGCAGTAGGGCACATGTCATTTAAAACATAACACCGCATATAGGCTACTAGGGAAGATGTAATGGCGAGGAGAGCTTTTCATGCTCGGCGCTTTGCAATGAAGGAAAATGACGGAGAATCTGAGAGACTGGTTTTTGCGCTGCGCCTCTTCTTTGGCGGACGGACCGATGCGTTGAGAGAAAAAATAATGCGGAATAGTTCCCCCCAGAAGTGTTAACGCAGACAATTACAAGATGAAGAAGCAATTCAATCGGATGCGACAGCTCGCCAACCAAACGGTGGGAAGGTAAGCGAAACGTTTCAGTGCGCAATTCTCGCCGGACCAAGCCAAATGGAAGAGACCTCCCCTTTACGGCCCCGTTGAAATTCACTATTTCACCAAATGTGTTTGTTTTTTGAACAGGTTTATAGATTTAATCTCCACGTGATCATTCTTGTTATAAGAGAGTCCCGTGTGAAAAACGCCCTCATTGTGCTTATGCGTAACATCCAGTGGAAACCGCATAGGCAGCGTGTAGGCGCATTGCCCCAGTCTCCACAACCTGCCCACGGACGTACATTAAAAATAGACAGTCGCTGCAACGCAGACCAGCACGCAGGCAAACCCCCATTCCGGTGCTGGATCGTGACAAAAATCGTGTCATTATTATTAGAGTGAGATAATGTTCATCTGCTGTCACCGAACCTGTCAGGTGATTCGGACTGATGCGGAGGTTGCGACGTGAAAATGGAAAAAAGGCGCAATGTTTTCATTCTGCAGACATGTCAGCTGTAGTAGGGAAGCAGCTCTTGGGGCTGGGTTGTCAAGTCGTGATCTGGCGTTTAAATAAAAAAAACGTGTATATTCAACTGTAAAGACGACTAGGGAGGATTTATGCAGCCCTCTGTAGCTCAGATTACCTTCTACTTTCAGGAGTGAATCTTTTGTGACCTTTTGCACAGGTCCCCCGGGTTTATCAGCCCCTCCCGTCTCTAAGGAGAGCAGCTTGTCAAGCAGCACTAAACCAGAAGGTGTTTTCTGCTCAGCGGTGGGGGATTAGGAGCAGGAGGCTGGGTCATTACTACTACAAGGTTGTGTGACATGCACTCATAAGGAGGGACACACCTTGCAGAGTGCATCGGCTCTAGGTCATCATTATCGTTGTTCCTTTGCTTTTTCCTGATGCAGATTATTTTTACTAGAATTTCATAGAACTTTAAAGGCAGGTTTGTCCTTCATATCTTCAAAGAAAATAGGATGCATTTGTTCAGAACTATTATTAAACAGGAAAAGGGCCAGCGTCTCACTATAGACGCCTCTGGTTGGCTTATCCATGCAGAGTCTCTGATAACATGCATCATTTAGCTTGACTAGCTTGATACTACAAATGATGGCATCAGGGATGGACTGGGACATTAATGCAGCCCAGGAATGTCTCCGTTGGACGTGAGGGAGTGTATGTGCTGAACGGTATGGCTGTTCCTCCAGAACCCACAATGGCCAGTCCACAGCAGGTCCCCTGTCCATCACAGGGACACACAGAGACAAGTGCCCAGTTCCACACTTGAGTGTTGCCAGATAACCTATTATGTATGGTTTTGGTCCGTGGTTAGGAAACCACCGGGACAGAACCCACACATGCGTGATGAGAACATGCTAACCCTGCACAACAAGCGGCAGGCTGGACTCGAAGGTTAGGCTATCCAACACTGACTGGTCAGATTTCCATCCTGCATTGCAAACACGTTCTACCTTAGTGAACATGTGTCAGTAAATATGTTTCCAAGACAACAAGCAGCTGTTTATCTGATTTCACAGGTTTATGATTACTCTCTCGTTTCTTGGTAAAGTTTGAATTAAGGGCCGCATTTAAAAAGCTTTTACTTATTATAATTAACCATGAAGAGGAAGATATTCCTTTACAGTTTCAATCCTCAAAATAAGTGCATTTGCAAATGACAAAAAGTGAGAGTGTGTTTTGTAAATGCATGCACAGATCTGTGTGTTTGCACGCACATGAGGTAGGCTGTACGTGTGGAATGAGTGGGTGGACACGTGTGTGTGTGTGTGTGTGTGTGTGTGTGTGTGTGTGTGTGTGTGTGTGCGTGCAGCAGATTAATGAGGCATCTTAATGTAGGAATTCACACTATCACACCGGGCTAGGATTCTGCTGCCAGTCGGTTTATTTTCTCCCATGATTAACTCTTCTATTGTGACTGAAAGTCATTTTAGTTTTCTTCTTTCGCATTTTATAATTTTAAAATTTCTGTTTTCTCCATATTTTTATTACTATTTTTTTATCATTTGTGATTTTTATCTTGAGAGGCGCTGTATAAAAATGCATTTCTTCTTCTTCTTCTTGTTGTTATAACACAGGAGGCTCGCAAACTGTCTGAAAACTTAACAAGAGCGCATGAATTCCAGAGGCTTTTGACTTGCTGACTCAAGCTTGACACGTCTTCAGACCAGAGCAGGGTTCCTCTGCTGGTTTGGCCCTTTGACCTCTCTGAACTCCTGCAGTCTCTGTGGAGTTTAAGCAGCAGTTCCCCGTCACTCTTCTCAAACCACTTCAGTGTTTTTTCCATCATTTAATAACAAGAATAATAACAAGAATAATAACAAGAATAATAACAATAATAACAGTGTCAGAACTGTATCATTTTCTTAGTATTGATGGTTTGTGAGTGAACAGACACAAGAAGAACATCAGTCCATGACACGTGTCTCCTTCATCTTGTTCATGACAGGCGGTAAAGGTCTTCTTTCAAGGGGTGGGTTGGAGTGCAGGTGTGCAGCGTCAGCAGATCTCTGGCTCTTCTAACCTGCTGCTGCAGCTTCTGGTGAGATCCATGTCATGTGATCACCAGCTGCACCAATTACCTCTGTAGCTTTACAGTGAAGGTGTGCTGCCTTGCATGCTCTGTACAACAAATGTGTCAATGTGCTTAAGGAGAGGAAACAGAGGATGACAGATCTGAAAGGCAGAAGGGTTTAATGGTGTTGTGTATGACTGGTATTGTTACTGGTGTTTGTTATTTTAAAATGTATGCTTTCTTACAAATCAAAGGTCCAAGTAAGATTGCACGGGTTCTGACAAATCTCCCCCTCCATCTCTCTTGACCCATTTCTCTATTCCCACATCACGGCCCGAAGTAGGTCCTCAGCATCCTCAGAGTAGATGACGTCACCCACGGTAAAACTTTCCACACCAAAAACAAAATAAGAAACAGTTCTACATGATTCTCTTTTTGATGAATAGTTTTTAGAAAAGAGCATATTTCTATTGTCTTTTGCACAATAAACATGAAATCAATATTTAATGAAAATGTACACTGTTTTAGTAAAAGTCAGGGACAATCAAGGCTGTATGTTTGTATTTGATAAAGTAATTAAGCACGCTGATACGGGCTGTTAGGTCCCTGTATGACCGGTGTCAGAGCTCGGTCCGCATTGCCGGCAGTAAGTCGGGCTCATTTCCGGTAAGAGTTGGACTCCGCCAAGGCTGCTCCAGACAGAAGCCTGTTGAGGTGGCTCTGGCATCTAGTTAGGAGGCTTCCTGGATGCCTGGTGAGATTTTCTGGGCACGTCCAACCAGGAGGAGACCTAAAAGATGACCCAGGACAAGATGGAGGGACTATGTTTCACAGCTGGCCACGAAATGCCTTAGGATTCCCCCGGAGGAGCTGGTCCAAGTGGCTGGGGAGAGTCTGGGCCTGGATGAACGGATGGATGGATGAATGGATGGATGGATGGATGAATGGATGGATGGATGAATGGATGGATGGATGGATGGATGGATGGATGAATGGATGAATGGATGGATGGATGGATGGATGGATGGATGAATGGATGGATGGATGAATGGATGAATGGATGGATGGATGGATGGATGGATGAATGGATGGATGGATGAATGGATGGATGGATGGATGGATGGATGAGTTAAACATGCAAATTGCAAAAACGTCAGAATGGCTGCCACGGCCTTTCTGGTGTTAAATCTGTGCATTCAGTTGTAAGGATTTTATTTTATTTCCTCTGGTCTGTGTTTATAAAGTGTCTTCTAGGGTTTATAAACCCCCCAAGGCACTTTACAACACAACCAGTTATTCTCTCACACACATACAAATTATACAAATACAAACAAATCACACTAGTGGTGCCCCAGTGCGTGAGGTCCCTCTTACCACCCCAGCGGGTAAAGAGGGGAAGTGACTTGCCCAATGGTGACAGACTGAGTGGGACTCAGACCTGCAACTCAGCGGTTATTAGGCGGACCCTAACCCTAACCCTCCCCTGTCAATGTTACCCGCAAATTCTGGAGTAATTTTAGATCTTAACACAACTATGTTTGCCACTAACCTAAAACACCTAATCTGGTAAATAAATCCTATCCGAAGTCTTTTAGACGTCTCCTTGTTCTAAAAACACTGATTTGAATGTTTAAATTATGTCCCCAGTTCAGCAGAAACCTGCTAATCATTCATTTGTTTGAATCTAAAACAAGCAAACATCTAAAAGGTGCTGGGCAGCGGTCCTTTCTTCAAACCCGCCTTAGACATTTAGACAAGTCGACTTTTTTAGAGTGAACAATCGTCTAAAACCCCACATTCCCAATAAAGCATCTCTTTGAGTAATTTTCAGTTTTTAAATGTAAAACTACATTTTCCTTTCTAAGTGGAACACAAAGGCGCTACTTCTGAATATTCTTTGCACATTGTCAGCAGAAAAGCAGAGAGATCAGAACAACTGAGCGTGAGTGTTGCTCTTACATCGTCCAGTCTTCCCATCCTGCAGCTGACTGATGCTCACGATAAATGCTTTCTTTCTGCTTGTGCCTTTAGGCTGGGCTGTATAGCCCACCACTCTACAATCCAATTATCAGAAAACGGCAGCCATTCGTGGGCTGTGGATGCTTTTGTTTCTCCCCCGTGTTGTCTCACTCTGGGTTTCTGTTTTTGTTCTGATGCAGTGTTTGATGCATCACATTTCAGCGTTCACACTTTCAGTCAGCATGCAGGAACCCTAAATAAAGCACTTGTGGGAAGAGAAATACACATACCAGAAACGTGTTTGATTTGGAGGGGAAAGGCTGATTATTCTTAACCTTTATTATTTCTAATGAATGATTTGGTGGATTTAAATGAACGATAAGGAACAAACTTATTGCTTGAAACTTGCTGGACACCATTTCCATCCTTTTGCGTTTTTTCCTCCTGCTGCATCTTGTTGCTCCAAAATTCTAGTTTGACAGATGAGAAGACCTCAGAAACCCGGCTTTTGATCTCCAGAACACATGTAGGTGAACCTTTTCACATTTGTGGTCACTTCTCTGGCTTCGTGTTGACTTGAGAGGCATCACGTGTTGCAGCAGCTGTAGCTGTTGTTGCCACGTGCCATTTGGTGCTAACATGTTGATAACCCTTCAATAAGCCCATCCATGCCTCAGAGAGACAGCATACTACAGGGGGTGATGGTGATAAAGAGCTATTGTTAATGATTTGGCCAACAAAAGAGCGATGATGTCATCAGACAGAAGCCTCAATTCTCTTCTTGATGTGGATGTAAAGGGATTTCTTTAGACCCTGCACCAGTTCTGCTGTAATTTATAAGTGAACAAAACAGCATCAGTTTATGATATTAAGTGTTATGAATATGCATTTGATCTAAGGTGGGTCGAATTAGAGGTAGTCTGGTTTGTTGCTCATAACAACAGGAAGAAATCTGCCTGTAATGAAGCTGATGAATGTTACAGACTCAGGATGTCAAACATCAAGCAACGAGATTGGGGGATTGGTTTTTGATTTTTCTTTTCTTTGACTGTACGTTCTGTACAGGTCCGGTCAGGAGAGGCTGTAAATGCAAATGCTGGGAAGGCATTGTTGTTAGAAATAACCACCAAGAGGACGGGTGGCTCCGTCAACATGCCTGCTCCCGTCCATTCACACAAAGTAAAACAGGACGCATTAATTCACTGTTAAGTTCCCTGTTTAGTTTACATCTTACCACCATTTCAGAGAATTTTTTTGTTATTTTTATTTTCTTTTATTCCTTCTAAAAGATCATCTTCCCCATCTGTTCATATACTGTAGGAAGTACAGATTTCTTCATTTGCTCTGGTTGCCTAGAAACGCGTATTTAGCTGTTTCATCACATTTTTGTCAATTCACATGTTACATTTTCCAGGCGGTGAAGACATTTGCAGGATTGCCGATGAAGAATGTCTCCGTTTTACATCTTTGTTTTGTGAGTTTTTGTTGTGGTTTGCTTCGTGGTCTGTCTGAAGCTTCCCGGTGGAGTGGGTAAGAATTTGGACAGATTTAAATGAATTACCAGCACATTTAAATAGAATTGTGAAAAGTAGACTTATTAAAGATAAGTGACTGATTTAGTTTCCAGAGGGAGGTTACAGACGTCTGCAGGCTTTCACTCCCTCTGCCGTTGGTGCATTATGTGTGCAAGCTGTATGCTGATGTGCATGTGTGTGTTCACTCCCCTCAAATGTACTCTTGCATACTTGACAGAACTGTGACCTAGTTTACTGGACAACTACAGTAAGTGGGTTTCTCTGTTTTAGTAGCCTCGTATCCCATCCCACCCCCACCCCCACGCCTCCTGCTTTGTCATGAGGGAGGAAACCGAGAGGGCCTTTAGATTCATGCCAGCGATCCGCTTAAAACAAAAGGCATTCGCTGGAGAAATATTTTGAAAGCATCTCGAGTGAGAACATGCTGTGGGTCTCATGCCAGCACTCGGGGCCGTGTGGTGCCCTGCTGAGGCCCACGGCACCATTCTGCTATTCTCTGAGCAGCACAGGACTGTGCGTCTAACATAGCTCTCTCAGGAATCGGAGGTCTCCTTTTTTAGCAACATTAGCGGCGTGAGCAGAGAAGAGCACAACCACTTTCCTTTCAGTTCAAACAGCCATCATCCTCCAACAGTTGGCTTTTAACCGACGTGATAAGTTTGTGAGCACAGACGTTATTTTGCCCATATTTTTGAGGATGTCTGCTTGAATTATTCAAGCTTTCATTACCATGTGCATTGCTGGGGGCAGGGGGGCAGCTGGCCTGTATTAGCATATATCAAGATACACTTTTCTGTGATTTCAGATACGTTTCTTTTAGTGTGCAGCTGTTTTTAGAGAACAATTTGGTTGCATTTTATTGGACTTATCATGGGATTTCCTCTCCGATTAGCCATAAAGTCTAAATCGCCGTCTCTTCGGTAATGCTGTCACCAGACATGGAAACGAAGAGATTCAAAATCTTCCACTTGATCTCTGTTTTATCTGATTCATCCTCGTCAGGTCTCAGACAGATTTAAAGGTTTTTTTCACCACAGTCTGACATGAGGAAGCCTGAGACAACTATGTTAGGTAAATCTACAAGATGATGCAACATTTCTGCTATTTGACATAAGCTCCTCCATCCTGATGTTTAAGGATGTCCATGCACATGTTTGTTTTTGAGTGCTTGCTTAGTCACAGCTCTAGGTAAAGGAATGCCTGTGCTGTGGCAGATGGTTGGTGCAAACCTGGCAACATCTTCCTCCCTCTCCATGAGCATACCGCCCACATGGCTGCCAACTCTCCCACGTGTTTACTTTCCTCACAGGACTCAATCTGCACACTTGTTTGCTGAGAGCAAAATCACTCCACAACTCAAAAGCATCCCTTACTCTGCAGCTTGGTTTGTAGGACGCCTCTATTCCCACCATGGTCTGTTCTTTTTGTGGGTGTTTAGTCTGTGTCCTGAGAAGCAGATTCTTGCTTAGTAAGAGGAAAGGCCAAAGCCCAAAAACAAACACGGCCATTAAATTGAACAGCTTTTCTTTTGAAGATGTAATCTTCTGATGTCTAATGACAGAGCTAACATGTTGGCAGCGCTTGGATCTGCTGTTAGGTCTGTGTTATGGTTCACTGAACACATTGCATTTCCCGACTGAAGAGTTTTGTGGGAAATTTGTTTTAGAGATTGTTAAACCGCTGAAATATTAAGCCAAACTTTTTTGGAGTGCTCTGGTTTTGTTACTTTTTTGTTGTGTAATCAGCAAACTGGGATTGCACCTGTTCTTGCTATTTGTGCCAGGCATCTTTTGAATTTCTTTATTTCATGTAGACAAGCATTTCCTGTATCTTCTCTCCTGAGCTCTGTGAGCAGAGCTGAGATTAGGGTGCACTGTTTGACCCACTTCCCATGGCTCCAGGTCTTCATCTTGATACTGGGACCAAGATTTTAATGTATTACTGAAGCTCAACACATTTTTTTAAAGATGTTTTTGATGCTGCTAATCAGGATAAAACATTGCATGTGTAACATCTAGGGTTGTCACGGTAACCGCCATCTCAATTATCACAGAGCATTATTTTATGTTCTAATGATTCTCAAAGTAGCATTTCATCTACGACGTGCGTTGGTTTTATTTTTGTCCTGCACGTGAATCATAGGAGAACAGATTAAGGTCTTTTCCATTTGCTTGGTAAACATAAATCCACGTTCTTCATTTGCCATTGAGATTGACACAGTGGGGCACAATCGCAGGAAGAGGTTGTGCAGACAGGAAGTGGAAGTGCATTGAAAGTATGTGTTCTGCTGGGTGGATGCTGCGGGGGTACGCAGGTGGAACACTGCCCAGTGTCTCACCCGTTCCACAGAGGAAGTGCATGTTATTCTCTTACATGTTACTGAGTGAATCGCAGGTCTCAACGTGTGCAGTGGACATCTGAGTTGGCTGAATTTCAGATCACAGTCAGAAATCTTTGCTGATTCTTGGTGGCTTTTTAAAAGCATATTGAGCTCTGATGGGTGCAGCATTGCAGAAACGGGACTGAGGTCTTAAATTGCGTCGTGAGCTGACTTCGTGTATTTGTGGCTTCCAGTGCTTAGCTCTTTTCAAAGCTAATGGCTCATTCACTTCTCCGACTGAGTAGCTTTGTCTGCTTCATCGGCACTGCAGTTCAGCCCTCGCTTTCACAGCTTAGCTGAGGTTTCTGTCAGGAACTGGCATATTGAATTGGTGGGCAATCAGGCGGGGTACACCCTGGACAGAGAGCCAGTCCATCGCAGGACAACACAGAGACACACAGGACAAACAATCATGCGCACACACACACACACACACACACCTAAGGACAATTTAGACAGACCAATCAACCTAACAGTCATGTTTTTGGACTGTGGGAGGAAGCCGGAGTACCCGGAGAGAACCCACGCATGCACAGGGAGAACATGCAAACTCCATGCAGAAAGATCCCAGGCCGGGAATCGAACCCAGGACCTTCTTGCTGCAAGGCAACCGCTCTAACCACTGCGCAGCCGGACCCTGAAGTGTTTCTAATTTTTATAATCATAATTTTTACCGCTAGATCACTAGTCTTTTATTTACACTCTACAAGGGTCATTTGACTTCAGTCTGGCAGTATAATGTTAGCTTTAGCTTATCATAAACAATGTAAGTGAATGGGAACAGCTAGCATTTATATTATTCAAATTAGAAAGGACAGCTACTTCTAAAATAAATTCTAAAGCAGAGAAAATGAAAGATGAAGTAGGTGTATTTTAGGGGCCGCTGTGTCATGTCCTTGCGCATTGTAGCGGAGGCTTACAGTGGTGCTTTATCGTAAAATAGTCCCAAGTCTAAATCAGCTCCTGTAATTTCCCTCATGTTACTTACAGTGAGGTGCAAAAGTTTGGACAATCTTGTTAATCTTCATGATTTTCCTGTATAAACCGTTGGTTGTTACGATGAAAAAAAATGCAGTTAAATACATCATATAGGAGACCAGCAGTGATGTTTGACAAGTGAAACTAAGTTTATAGGATTTACAGAAAGTGTGCAATAACAAAATTAGACAGGTGCATGAATGAGGGCACTAATTATTGGGACTCAAAATTGGTTTGGTAAGCTCAGTGACCCTTGACCTCCGCACACAGGTGAGTCCAGTTAGGAGAAAGAATATTTAAGGGGCAGTTGTTAGTTTCCCTCTGAATATTCCCTGAAGAGCAGCAACATGGAGGTCTCAGAACAACTCTCACATGAGCTGAAAACAAGGATTGTTCACCATCCTGGTTTAGGGGAAGGATACAGAAAGATGTCTCAGAGGTTTCAGCTTGTTTCCACAGTTAGGAACATGCTGAGGAGATGGAAGACCACAGGCTCAGTTCATGTTGAGGCTTAAAGTGGCAGAGCAAGAAACATCTCAGATAATCAGAAGTGAAGAATGGTGAGAACAGTCAGTCAACCCACAGAGCAGCAGCAAAGACCTACAGCATCGTCCTGCTGCAGATGGAGTCTCTGTGCTTCATTCAACCATTTGGTGCACTTTACTCAAGGAGATGCTGCATGTGAGAGTGATGCAGAGGAAGCCTTTTCTCCACCCACAGCACCAAGAGAGCTGCTTGAGGTTTGCTAAAGCACATTTGAAGCCCGCTTCATTGTGGAATAAGGTGCTGTGGACTGATGAAGCTAAAACTGAGTTATTTGGGAATAACAAGGAGCGTTATGCATGGAGGAAAAAGAACACAGCGTTCCAAGAGAAACACCTGCTACCTACAGTAAAACATGGTGGTGGTTCCATCATGGTGTGGGCTGTGTGGCCAGCGCAGGGACTGGGAATCTTATTAAAGCTGAGGAACACATGGATTCCACTCAGTATCAGCAGATTCTGGAGACCAATGTCCAGGGATCAGTGACAAAGCTGAAGCTGGTCCGGGGCTGGATCTTTCAACAGGACAACGACCCTAAACACTCAAAATCTCATGCAGAGGAACAGGTAGAACATTCTGGAATGGCCATCTCACTCCCCAGGCCCGAATATTAGTGAAACTCTGGTGTGTGAGTTAGAGAGAGCTGTCCATCAGACCTGAATGAACTAGATGTTTGCTTGCTTGTCTTTTGCCTTAAACACCTGTTTCTGACTTTTATCTCTACAGGGCAGAGAAAACAGAGGTGTTGAGTGAAGATCTTCTACAGGTGAGTTGTCATAAGGTTGTGTGTGAGATGGCTTTCTCAGCTTGAAAATACAAATATCAACAATAATCATAAAATGATGCTAAAAATTGTCATATCGCAATGGAAATGACCTGACATCGCAACAGAGCTGTTTTCTTTAGTGTGCACAACACTTTGTTGTAATATACATATATATATATATATATATATATATATATATATGTATATATATATATATATACACACACACATACACACACACACACACACACACACATGTGTGTGTGTGTGTGTGTGTGTGTGTGTGTGTGTGTGTGTGTGTGTGTGTGTGTGTGTGTGTGTGTGTAAAATGATTTTTTATATTTTTTATATATGCTTGCATGTGTTCTTATAGTGTTTGGTGTATCTTCTAGATTTGTTATTTTTAATTGTTGTTTTTATTGTGATGTATGGGACTGTACATGTGAATTAGCTTAATGTTCAATGTCGTCTATGGTCCTGGAATAAACTTGATTGCTGATTATTGCTGATTTAATTTCACAGTCATTAACTAAACATTCTGGGTGTATTGGTTTGCAGTTTGGACTTAGATTTGAGCTGATTAGTGTGTATTATTGTGTGGTCTGCTCGTACAGGTAGAGAAGCGTCTGGATCTGGTCAAGCAGGTGACACACAGCGCTCACAAGAAGCTGACTGGCTGCCTGCAGGGCCAGCAGGGGACTGACACGGAGAAGAGATCTGTCAAGTCCCCATCTGTGAGCACCTGTCACTCTTCCTCTCGGATGACAGAGAGCAACATGATATACGTCTGTGATGTTTTAGTAAAATTTCTTTTTGCTGTCAGAAAAAACTTCCACTCACGATCTTGGCACAATGCATGGAGGAGGGAGCTGCAGTGTTGGGGGATGACTCGCTCCTGGGGTAAATAATTTACAGAGCTGTAGGGTTTAATGATCAATTTATCCATCAAACAAAAAAATAAATACATTTTCGTGCCTGTTTCACCAAACAGAAAGATGTTGAAGCTTTGTGGAGAGACGGAGGAGAAGTTGGCTCAGGAGCTGCTTCAGTTTGAGCTCCAGACAGAGAGAGATGTGGTGGAGCCTCTCTATGTGCTTGCAGAAGTAAGATGGCATTGCTAACCACAGACACAATGTGCTCTGTTTGTGACAGAATTGCAGAGCTGCCTATTTAGATATTGTGTTTTGTAGGTGGACATTCCCAACATCCAGAAACAGAGAAAACACTTAGCTAAACTGGTCTTGGACATGGACTCAGCACGAGCAAGGTGAAAGCTGTTTGCATTTACACCTTTGAAATATTTGTGCACAAACAGGACATCTTCACAGCAGGAGTTGTGCTTTTACCCCCACAGATATCAGCAGTCATCTAAGTCATCCAGCCACCCAAGCACAATGCAGCCCGGCACCAAGTCTGAGTCCCTAAGAGAGGAGATGGAGGAGGCAGCCAATAGGATGGAGATTTGTAGAGTAAGTCACCAACCAAAGCCAATCACACATTTCCTCCTCTGTTGTCTGGCTCTCCCTCTGAACACTGTGGATTTGTCAGACACAATTGAATCACTCTGACATTATGTTGTTTTTGTCTTCCACTCCATTTTACAGGATCAGTTGTCAGCAGACATGTACAATTTTGTGGCCAAAGAAATAGACTATGCAAACTACTTCCAGGCAGTAAGTAAATTGATTCAAGAAAACTACAGTAACCGCGCAAAAGTCACCAAACTGTGGCTCTTACTTGTACTCTTACATCCCAGCATTTACTGTAGATGACTGGAAAACAAAATATCGGTATGCCTCTGTTGTAGAATGTTCTAACTGTCTCCTCCTTTCCTCTGTAGCTGATAGAAACACAGGCAGAATATCACAGGAAGTCATTAGAGATTCTTCACAGTGTCCTGCCCCAGATTAAAGCTCACCAAGGTGAGTCATGCACTGCATGTGGAGCTGTGTGACTACAGATCCGCACTACTTCACCACCTGAAACCTCATGGACAAGCTTAAATATTTGGAAGTGTCACCCAAAATTTACTGAAGCTTTTCTTTTTGATTGCTACAGAATCTTTCTGCATCACATTTTCCTGATATCTCTGCCAATGGCTTAAAAAACTTCCAAAATCCCCCTAAGCACGATGGCAGATGTGACGCATGGGTTTTTATTGTATCGTGTGCGATTCTTGATGCAATTTTGCGTTGCAGAGGCGTGGGTGGAGAAGCCGTCATTTGGCAAGTCTCTGGAGGAACACCTGAACATTAGTGGAAGAGAGATTGCCTTTCCCATCGAAGCTTGTGTTACCATGCTGTTGGAGTGTGGCATGCAGGAGGAGGTACTCTACACAAACACATGAATCACTGAAAATGTTGCAGGTGCTCACAGTTTTGCTGTTTCGTTTCTTGCAAGCAGAAGGATGTGTGTGCGCTTAGCTTTCAGCAATATGTTTTTGTGCCGATTGTCACCTCTTAAAGTCAGATGCAAAGTTCATGTTAAAAGCAGTAATTATTCTTACCTACATGATGTATGTGTGTACTACAGGGCCTCTTCAGAGTGGCTCCATCAGCCTCCAAGCTGAAGAAGCTAAAAGCCTCCCTTGATTGTGGAGTTCTTGATGTGCAGGAGTACTCCTCCGACCCACACGCCATCGCAGGTGAAGTACACCCGCACAGGCATATTACACTTAGAAAACACTGTCAGTTTATGCAGCATAGATTGTCCATCAGCTCTGTTGGGCTCTTTTCTCCTCCCTGCATGCTCAGTATTAGCATGAGAGCTCTGTTGAGCAAGCCGACTCTGGCAGCTGTACTGACTTGAAGGGGCTGCTGGAGGGTAGAGAAGATATGGGGCATGGCCTTGCAAATACCCTCAGGAGAGGAATCAGTCCTCTCAGATAAAAGCTGACTAGCTTTTTCTTTTCTTTATTTTACAATCTTTGCCTTGTTTTTCTCACACACACAGGGGCCTTGAAATCGTACCTCCGTGAACTCCCCGAGCCATTAATGACCACTGAACTTTATGAAGAATGGATTCAGGCCTCTAAGTGAGTTCCTGTTCTCTCATTAAAAATAATTCTGAAATGATCCCATCAGCTACGATGAAAAAAAGATCTGTAGCTCAGAGTTTTTATTAAAGGGCTGCCAGTATGAAAACTGGTGACCTTTACAAGGAAGTGGAACAAAAAAGAACCATTATATAAATAATATTTCTGCAGCATCCAAGATATGGACAAGAGACTACAAGCACTGATGGCAGTATGTGAAAAACTCCCCTCAGACAACTTGAATAATTTCAGGTCAGTTGCTTCCTCTGGTTTTCTTTTTATTCAGTTGTACAGATGCAATAACATTTTTGCAGTCCTGAAAATTTCCAGGTAACTTTTCTTGCCTAAATAAATGAAAAAAATAACCGCAGCTGCAGGTTTCAAATGTAAACGAAAATGTCTGCAGTCAAAAAGTGTTGGCTCTGCCACTTTCAGACTTAAAGGTACAATAAGTAAGAATTTTACTACAAAGTAATCAGAATCCGTCCTTCCGTTAGAAGGTTACGTTGAAACAGACTTCCTTCTCATCCGGCTGGGTGGGACGAAGAGGGACATAGGCGTAGGTTCAAGAGCCTAGCATATTTGAGCCTGTGAGTTGCCAAGTCTGTGCCAGCATTTGTAATTTGTCACTGACCGGCAAAGTGCAGCAACATTGTGGAAACAATGTTAGCCAGTAAAAGGAGCAACCAAGAAGTTATGGCTCTTACCCCTAAGAAGCTACGGCATCTTTTTGTTTTACTCTAATATCGGTGAAGCATGCTAGAGGCTAATGTTGCGCTAACAATGCTAACGGTGAATCAGAAGCTAATAGTTGACTCAAAAAATACTCAGGCTACTGTTTCCATCACCAACAACTTGATATTACAGTGTAAAAATACTTAACTACTCATCAACTGACTGAGTACTTCTCGTAGAATCTTCTGTAGCCGATCCATAACTGGCAACAGCTGCTTAGAATGGTTGAAGTACCCAAACTGGCCACATGTTATTAGTAATGTACCGTATACGATTGATATAAATGTAGCTACCTGTAGAGATTTTGATTCTACTGTCCAACTGCAGCTATGAATGACTGTTGTTAAGCTGCGTCAGCGTTGGACGAATGCAGTAGAAGCTGCATGGATGAAGATGCAGCACGTGGATGAAGTTGCGCTTGTACAGGACTGGAATTTAAGGACTCGGATGCAGAAAACTTCCTCAGTACAATATGCTGGGTGACAGTAAAGTCGTATCGGTGTTAAATACAGTTCTGCTGCAATTCATGTCATTTTGATATGTAGAAAATAATTTATCGCCATATAGACTTTAGGCCATAATGCCCATTCCTACAGGATATCATTCTTACCTTTAAACCACCTGACGTTAATGAATTTTTCATTTCTAATGCTAGCTTTACTCTCATAATCACAAATTATTAAGATGTGGCCTCCAAAACTCAGGCAACTCCTTTCCTACTAAAGACAGTGTCATTTACGGATGTGTATGGGTGACATTCTGGCGATACGATACCGGGGAGACGATACGATATATCACAATATATTCAGCCAGACGATATTAGCGATTTCTTTATTGTAGGAACATTTAATCAACAGTCCAAACTGATATGTAACATGTTTAACATGAGGTATCTGAACCATAATACAGGGGCTTACATTTCAATGGTGGGAACAAAACCCATTGCACACAGCTGCCAACTAGCGGTCGGCATTTGAATTGCACCTCAAGAAAAGAAATTCTTTGCATGTAAATTCTTCCAAAAATTGCATACACAGCTTTTGAATATCGACATATCCCAGGATGAGATATCAGGATGTATTGCCATATCGATATTTTCTTACATCCCTGGTGTCAATGTAACAGTTCACTTTCTTTCTATCTTACAGATATCTGATTAAATTTTTAGCAAAGCTGAGTGAATATCAAGAGTCAAACAAGATGACTCCTGGTAACATCGCCATTGTTCTTGGGCCTAACTTGCTGTGGACACACACAGAACCGTATGTACTTCATAACTAATTACTTTTGTATTTAATGAAACTCTTTCACAGATACCAGAAACATAAAAGGGATGTGTGTGCAGGTTTCCACTGCAAGCATAGCTGACATAACTGTGTGTTTCCTACTCCTATGAAAACCCCGGTCTTAAAGCACTTTGTGCAGACTTTCTCTTGTTCCCCTCTACGTCTTTGTCAGTTCATGCCCGACACCATTTCTGTTGTTATTTTATAGCTACTTACAGCCCAAAGCAAAGTGGCAAAGGTCTTGCGTTTGGCACTTCTGAACGTTTTAAAGAAGTTGAAAAAATTCTGAAGTGTGAAAAAGACCTCTAGAGATTTGATTAGCATGTAAATTGAAGACATTAATTTTACCTTTGCTCATTTATCTTTTGTTCCAGGAACATGACAGAGATGATGACTACAGTTTCCCTTCAGATAGTCGGGATCATTGAACCCATCATTCAGCATGCTGACTGGTTCTTTCCTGGGGGTAGGTGAAATATTCCTATGAACGTGAAGAATTGTAAAGCTCTGGATGCTATCATGATGAATTTAGTTTGAACATACTAATAAAACAAGCTACACTTTGCTGGTGTCGTGCATTCCTCTGCCACAGACATTGAGTTCAACCTGACAGGCAGCTACGGAAGCCCGGTCCACACCAACCACAACTCCAACTACAGCTCCATGCCCTCACCAGATATGGACCAGTCAGATCGCAAGCAGCAGCAGCATGACCAGAGCAGACGCCCACTGAGCGTCGCCACTGACAACATGATGCTGGAGTTCTACAAGAAAGATGGGTATGAGCGTTCCCGCATCTCACTCTCCTTACATCTCTCACCTCCTCTCATCGCCCACACAACTTCTCACACCGCTGACATAAAAGAAGGTGTTGAAAATTGTTGTGGATAATTTACACATCATCCAATCTCATTTTTTGCATTCGTAGTTCCTCTTTTCTGTTCATTCTTCGACATAAAAATGTCCTTGTCATAATTCATGAAGAGGAGGATGAATTGCTTGAGTGTCATTGTCTCCATGGCAACAGGCCTCTAATGTAAGGCTGGTAGTTGCTCCACATTTTTCTAAACGCATCTCCTCGTCCTCCCACACCCAGCTACTCCCTCGGAGTCTGGCCAGTGCGTCACTTGGCCTGAGTCACTCGTCCAGCTGATGTACATTTTTTCAGGAGAAAACTAAATCGTGTTTGCTTTAAATGAACACGAAGGCTGCAGTATTAGATACTGATGCCACGCTGTGGTGACTTGGGCTTCACAGACAGCAGCTTTGAAAAGGAGTGCCCCAACTGTGGAGATTTAACATTAAAAAAGAGTTTAAAAGCCTCTCATTTCACAGGTGCCGTCTGTTCATCCATCCTTCACTAGATTTCCTCTCTCCATCTTAAACAATGAGTGAATGAAGTCTTCAGTCTGATCTTGTGAACCAAATCTGCATCCCTTATGTCCTCACATCCCTTTTGCCTCTCTTCTCCCCTACTAACTAACGCAGCATTAGGAAGATACAAAGGTATCGTATCATTCCAGTTCCCTCTTGTTTTCCCAACACCCCCATCATTCCTCATATTCACACTGACGTCATCATAAGTAACTCAAGACATTTGCTTTTCTCCAGTGTGGGTGTCCGGGTGATGGATACATCCTGGGTTTCTCGCAAAGGTTCGACCACACTGGCACGCAAGACTTGCTCCACCCCTCCAGGCGTGCAAGGACCCGGCTCTCCTGCAGACACACTCGTCCCCGAGCAGCTTGGGGAACTCGCCTCTCCATCCTCGACACCGCCGCGTACCGAAAGGGAAAGGGTTTGGTAAGTTGGCGTGGAAACGCTGCCTCTCACCATCATCACCATCACCAACATTCTTTGACCAACGTTGTTATGTTACCCCGTGTTTCCATTGATCAAGCAAAGCCTCTGTGGTGTTTATTTATTTTTGTATTTAATTTAATTTTTATTAAAACATTTTTTCAGTTTGTCTTAGCCCTTCCTAAAGCTGGATTGTTGAGATGTTGTCCATGCGAGTGGTGCTTTTCCTTAGTTGAAGTTCGTTATTTAAAGAATCGTTACAAGCTGTTATCCTCAAGTCTTTGGAAGCATGCTGATACATCCACCATCCCACCGTCAGCTTGGCTTTCTCAGCTTTTGTCTTTTTCTTTGTTAAGCAGATTTCAACAATTGTTTTATTCCAATATTCCATTCAGACACAAGAACAATCACCTCACGGTTACCGATTCTGCAAGTATGGCAGACAAAATCAAATCTGGCTTGGCTGGCTTCCCCTCATTTCCTGTGGCTCTTTCAGCCGTTGAAAGGGTTTTGTGTCTGCTCCACACTGCCCTGGGCTAACTGCAGGACCTGGGATTCAAACAAACTCATACAGGACACTTTCCAGCAAAGAGGGGACAGCTTGATAATATTGTATTCTCCAGATCAACGCTGTGGCTTAAGAGAAAGATCCTCAGAGCTCTATGCAGTGTGCAGACACAAGGAGATCACAGAGGAAGTCCAACACACTGTATTTTCTTTTCCTTTGGCAAAAATCCCACATGTTTCTTTGCATTTTCTTTGTGCTTGTTTTTGTATTTGCACTAGGCTGACTGTGTGCTAAGCTTGGTGCCCACCAACTTCCCCAGAAATGCATTTTTTTTTGGCTACAAAGCAACTAACCCACTAACACCCACCCATGAGAACAGCTTCTTCTTCATGGCTCCTATCGTTTCAGCCACCAGAGCTGTTTTATCTGTGCTGTCTGTTCTCTTAATATCTGCAGCTCAGACAACGTGCCGCTCAATCGGCCGGACACCTCTCATGCCCACCCACCCTCAGGGGAGGACCGGCCACCCCCTCCTTACCCCAGCTCCTCGTGCCACACCGCCCCACACCACTTCTATCCCAAACCCCTGCCCTGCGCTCGCCCTGTGGCACCAGGTCCCGAGTCCCAGCCCCCAGCCTCACCCCCACCCCCAATGCGCTGGTCTGGCTTCACTCCCCCTGCCCCACCCCCTTCCTCCTCTTCCTCCTCCTCCTCCTCCTCACTCGATATCAATTCAAACCCCAAACCTAACTGTCTGCACTTCCCCAAGCACAGCCCGCCTGGTGACATGTCCCACGCCCCCCCACCTGATGCTAATGCTTCGCCGCTTTACGTTAAAACCCCGTTGGTTCTAACTCGCCATGACCAGCCCCTTGGCAACCCCCCTATCCTCCCTTCGTCCATGCCCCCGCCCCCACCGTGGGCTGCCTGTCCTTGTGCTCGAGAGAGAGGACCCCCCAGACTGACTAGGTAAATACAACACACCTACGGCCACCATGGGAGCATCACAGAGGGGCAGCTGCTTTCCTCCTGTAGTTCGCTGGCTCACGTGTGCTTTGTGCTTCGTTTTACCTCCCCTTTCAAATGACATACCTGGGATTCTGTAACAGCAAGGTTTTCTGTAAACCAGGTTACCATAGCAACCAAAGATGACGCTTGATGCTTTTGCAGTTTGGTGCTGATGTTTAAAATACTATAAACAAAGGAAATGCAGCACACAGGTTTCAGTAAACAAATGAAAGCTTTGATTCTGAGGTTTTTTGTTATTAGTAATCACAAACAAATAGGAAATGTATTATTAACATGTTTAGGTTTGCCAGAAAGTTTGAATGACAAGTATGTGAGCTAGTAGCAACTGTTTAGAATGTTTTCATCAAGGTAAACTTCACTGGATGACCTTTGACCCTCTTCAGTGTTACAATCGCACATGTCCGTGTAGATCCTAGCAGGTGCTTCAGCTCTGTTTCTGCGGATTTGGAAGCTTCGATGCTCTCCTCTGAGCTCACTCCAGGACAAAAACTCTCCAGCTCCAAACTCCAACCAGTTTAATGCAACACCAACAGAAGCACGACATCATGATGAGCTTACTCATCCAAAACATAAAGTCAAATACAACTCAAATGTCTAATTATTCTAAATAAATCTACTAACTTAGGCTGAATAATCAGTGTGTTTAAGGAGAGGAAAATAAAGTTGTTGAAACTAAACATTGAAGCATACTCGGTGGTTGAGAAACCTTTAATGATGGATAAAGTCTAAGTTAAATGAATGTCCATGCATATTTTTATGGATTCTATGAATTCATATTTAAAATGTGTTTTTTTTTGTTCCACTTTTGTTACAAAGTCTCCGAAGCATCCAGATAGTTTGAAAAATCCCGAAGTATTTAAATACGTTTCCATTAAAATCAGTGTTTATAGATAACTTCTGTAACGTGTTTTTATGTTCATACATCTTTTAAATGTCTCCTCAACAGTTTGTGGTCAGTTGTACAGTAACAGTAGCCCTCATCTGAATCCCCACAGTTGTTGGGTTGAGACACTTGGTTTGGACAATAATCTGATGAGCTCCAGACGTGCTGTCAGGGGCTTTCTAAAGCCTGCGACCCGCTTCACTCTGGTGCTTTCATGAAGGACAGATTAATCCACATGCTTTTCCTTGTTTTGTGTTGTTCAAACATGTGGGTGGTTTTTCCAACCTCTCCTGACAATGAGAACTTATTGTGTAATTGAAAATCGTAATTTTAAATGTTTTAAAAGTGTAAACGTCTTTCAAATTTCCTGACTCGCTGGAGTTAGCTTGTTAGATGTAATGCTTCTTAATGATTTTTTTTTATATTCTTAATTTCAGAAATATATGTAATGTGTGTATTAGTGTACATCATCACAGTGTAACAGCCAGACGTGATGGTGATGATGGAGGGAGTGACTGTAGAACTGCAGAGGTATTGAAGGGCAGACGGTCCTGTGTTTTATTTGCTTTCTCTGTTCTGGTACATATGATAATACCTGCCTGCTTTTCAGTTCATTCAAGAGTAAAGAGCTCTCCCCTGTGATTGGACACAAAGCCATCCAGGTGGCAAGTCCAACAGTGCACCCCAGCAGCAGCCATTCCCCTCTCTCCACAGATCAGAGTCCACACACCCTTCGCAAAGGTCAGCACTCCTCTGTCCCCTGTGACATGAAAATGGTGTTTCGAGGGAACGCGGTGATATAACTGCTTCATGTGTTTATAGGTTCCAAGAAGTTGGCCCCTGTACCTCCAAAGGTCCCGTACGGTCAGTCAGGAGGGATGTCCGACCAGTCCACAGGTCAGCCATCACCAGTCAGCCTTTCCCCTACCCCTCCCAGCACCCCATCCCCTTACGGACTGGCCTGCCCTCCAGGGCAAGTACCCCCTTCCTCTCCGGGACAGACTCCGCTTGGGGCACCCCACTCTTTATCATCCCCACCCTCCCTGACTGGAACTCTCACCAAGTCGCGGCCTGCTCCTAAGACCAGGCAGAGGCCGAGCCTGCCCCCTCCTCAGCCGCCCACGGTGCCCCCTGGGATTCCAGGTCTGAATGCCCCCCCGATTCCCCAGCCAATGGAGCAGGGCCTCCTGGACGGACTGTCTCCTGGAGAGAGCATGTCTACAGGTAAACATCAGCCCATGGCAACACCATCCCCACCACCACCTCAGGTGGGGCTGCAGCGGCCCTCTCTGAGACTCGCTGTGGCTCTGTCCATTGGAGACGGTGGACAAGTGTAGGACCCTGTAGGACTGTAGACACGGAAGACACTTGCCGCCTTAACTAACTCATCCCAAGTGAATGTACTGAATGAAAAGCATTGCCTCTGAGAAGCAGATCCAAAGTAGCTTTTAGCATTTGTGTGTAGCGAGCAGATCCGACTCGTATCCATTGCTTGTGTTCTGTGATGATGTTTCCGGGTAACGTGTGGAAACATCAGACAAGCATAGCTCGTCCTGCTTGTTTGGAAGTTGCCATTAGATCCATCATGTGCTCTCTGTTTATCTGTGTGACCCAGACCCCATGCGGCAGAGGTAGGTCAGAGGCTTACTGTGAGCGGGTGTGGAAGCGAACCCAGAAAATCCCCACATTTATCTACAGAATGATGTTCTGATGATGAGGTGTTCTGTTAATATATATACCAGTCATTATTATGTTATATTTATCATTCTCTTGTCCCCCCCTTGCTACTATTGTGTACTTTGCAGCTGTGTGAGGCCAGGGATTCAGTGTGGGCTAAGTGTGAGGGGGACTTTTAGGGTAAGCCAGACCGCCCTCGCCCCATGCACTCCATCTCACTGCCTGGCCTCAAACTGTGGATGCCTCTGGGGTCTCCTGCAGCCTGCATCACTCAGCTATGACTCTCATTCAGAATATAGTTTTTCTTTCATCATCTTGGAATTGTTATCTCTTTGTACCAGAAAATGCATGGCTTAGGGATTTCCCAGAGTGCACCACACTGCACTCACATTGCAGTAACCATCGCTTACAAGGGTCCATCTTAAGCTTGGTTTATGCTTGACACATTCGCTTTCCGCGCGGTGATGCGGCTCGCGGATGGAACGTGCTTCACAACTCGCAGCGTTTATGGTTCGTGCGGCTCGTCTCTGCGGTGAGCCAATATTCTCCCAAACTGTAGGGGGCAGCATGGAGCTCTACGGCGTGCATCCAACACTACACCATAGTAGAAGTAGAAATTACTGTTTACAACATGGTATTTCAGCATTTTTAACAGCGTTCTCGTCTTTTCCGACATTGCGAGCTATTTCTCTCCAAGAATTATTAACAACATGTTGATCACGGTGATCTCTGAGAGCTGAATCATACAAATGTCTGTATTTACCAACCTCTGCCATACTAGTTCTTGCCGGTCCGCCATGTTTTTCCGCGTCCGTCCGTCCGCGTGGTTAGAAATTTTCCGAGGTGCGCGTCGCAGAAATTCTGGGCCGTGCGGAGGCGCGGCGGAGGGGCGTGGTTGTTAAAATGATGCAAAATGACGCAACTTTTCCGCGCGGAGCTGTGCGGACCTCGCGGACGCGTCAAGCATAAACCAACCTTTAAGCTCCCTCCTTGTTCCGTTTATTCCCTTTTCTTGGCGTCATGCTGGCAGACATCCCCCTCCTTTCTCAGGGGTCCACAGGTATCTCTTCCTCTGGCAGGTCCATCGCTTTCTCGTAACCCCGCCTCCTCTTCTGCCACACTCCATCTCATTCCCACACAGGAGCAGTCATCAGTCTGTTTGGACCTGTGGCTTCCAGTCAATAGTGCAACACACTAGATTATCCATAGTTTCCATAAATACTACAAGCAGTCCTCGTGAGATTCCCATTCTTACTTCAAGCCACGTGTTGTCTAGGTGCCATTTTATTTCTCCACAGAGTTCCACATACATTTTGTTGCCTCTGTGTTGGTTTATCCAGCTATTGTTGTGGACGTGCCACGCGTCATTGTGTAGCATATTTGACCTTTTGTTGTATTTAATCAGATGAAATATTTGTTGCTGTGACGTGCAACGTTTAAAGCCCTGCCATGTTTGTCGGTATGGGTGATATCGCACTGAGGATCCATCCCTGTGTAGAATGTGAAGCGCTTGTAACCCAGTGATACTTTTACTGAGGTCACATGCCACTCACCGCGAGTTCAGACACAAAGCGATTAACATTACCTCTGCTCTCTTTCATTTCTACGCCTCATCATCATGATCATTTGCCCCTCCCTTCCTCTTCCTGTTTTTGCTCACCAATACCTTTTCTGCTCCTC